TCTTTGTGTGTGTGTGTGTATATATATATATATATATATATATATATATATAAATATAAATAAAAACACACACACACACACATGCATATACATATACATACATACATTAAATATTAAAAATATATAAACATAATAATATAAATAATACAAATTATACAGAGAGAGAGAGAGAGAGAGAGAGATTTTATCTAGTCACAATTTTTATACATTGTTTACAAAAAAAACAGCCTAGCTATGTATGATAAATTATGAATATATTATTATAAATGATAAAAACTGAATATAAATTAATATTTAATATATAATAATTTAAATAATATAAAATAATTTAAATAAAGGAAAAGAATAGTGTTTCTTAGAGCAATTTGTTTATGAAACAATCTACACAATATATAAAAATATATATGTTATCTATATTTTTTATATAAAAATTAATCAGGAAAAGGTATAATTAGGCTGTACTTTCATACAAAATAAAACATTTAAAAAATATATATTCTTTAAAATAATAAAGAAGAACAGTCTATAGTATAGTATTACAATATAATTATAAATATGTGACCCTGGACCACAAAACCAGTCTTAAGTGTCAATTTTTCAAAATTGAGATTTATACATCATCTGAAAGCTGAATAAATAAGTTTTGCAATAATTCATTTGTTAGGATAGGCCAATATTTGGCCGAGATACAATCTGGAATCTGAGGGTGCAAAAAAATCTAAATACTGAGAAAATCGCCTTTAAAGTTGCCCAAATTAAGTTCTTAGCAATGCATATTACTAATAAAAAATGAAGTTTTGATATATTTACGGTAGGAAATTTACAAAATATCTTCATGGAACATGATCTTTACTCAATATCCTAATGATTTGTGGCATAAAAGAAAAATCGATCATTTTGACCCATACAATGTATTTTTGTCTATTGCTACAAATATACCTAAGTGACTTGAGACTGGTTTTGTGGTCCAGGGTCACATATATACATGTAATAAATATAAGTATATATGTGTTACTTGCCATTTCTTTTAAATTATTTATGAAATTTAGCGATTTCTGAATAAAAAATTTTTCAAAGTCAATTCTGACCAAATTGTTTCTGTTTGTTAGCAATGACTGTAGCTAAAATAGTCTCAGAACTGTCAAGATATTGTGTCGGTAACATTTCAAATTGCAGTGATATGTACTTATGTGTTCGTATTTTGCGTCTTGTGAAAAAGTTCCCACGGGTAGATTTTCGTCATGAGATCAGGTAGAAAGCACAATCCTGGTAACACACAACACTTAAATAATGCAATAAACATTCAAAACAACAGATGATGTAACAGAAAACCCAAATGTACATAACTGATAGCAAAAACTACTAAAGAAATATGATATTTAAACAAAATACTTCAAATGTGGAATTTCATACAGAGAATTCTGGGAAATGAAAGCGTCCACGGAAATTCTGTCAGGAAGACTCCAATGCCACGTCATTCATTCATACTAACAGGTCTGACCAATCACTCCTTGACACCTGGAGTATATAAGCACTGAACTCAGTTTCATTTTCGCAGTTAATGTCGCCGACGTTCCCCTCCATCCTCCCCACCACCACCAGGTTGGCTCTGTCCATCCATAAGGGGTAGGCTCCGCCCCTGCCTTCATCTTCAGGCAGGATCAGCCAAATCTGCGTCCCCAGGATTTGGACAAAGGCCTACGAAAAAATAATTTTTCTATACAAAAGAAAAATCGATCATTTTGACCCATACGATGTATTTTTGTCTATTGCTACAAATATACCCAAGTGACTTGAGACTGGTTTTGTGGTCCAGGGTCACATATATACATGTAATAAATATAAGTATATATATTTATATATATAAATTTCTACTAAATACTGAGCAAAGGGTCTGAATACTTAGGACCATGTGATATTTCAGTTTTTCTTTTTTAATAAATCTGCAAAAATGTCAACAATTCTGTGTTTTTCTGTAACAATGGGGTGCTGTGTGTACATTAATGAGGGAAAAAAATTTACTTAAATGATTTTAGCAAATGGCTGCAATATAACAAAGAGTGAAAAATTTAAGGGGGTCTGAATACTTTCCGTACCCACTGTATATATAAATATAATTATGCTTTACTTTTATACAAACTGAAATATAAAAATCTAATTAAGATAAACTGTCTATAAAATAGTTTATATAGATTTGATATATTCATATTCATTTATATATTATTCATATTTATTTATATATTATTATAAATTGTAAACACTTATATGCATTTATAAAGATACCAAACAACCAACTACTTGCTTCTGAAAACGTTTTGTTGCATTTGTTGCATATCCCTACACAATATTACAAAATCCGTGTAATTTGAGCTCTGTTCATTTCCTGTCCCCAAGCATCACTCATGAGCTGATTGTAGAGGTGATATATAAACGATTTGAATTACAATTACTAGCTAGCTGACTTAACAAAGACACAATGGCAGAAAGCGAACCACCCACTTCACGTTTCCATTACCTTTGGGCCTGCAACCGGGTGACTGTGCATATTTGACAAAGTTGGTGGCATCCGAGCCTTGAGGAGGACAACACACATTCGAATTACACAGCGTCTCATTCGCTGCACAACTCAGCAAGCACGACCAGAGTTCCCAAAATAGTCTGACAGGTACAAGGCTAAATGTCTGCGAAGAAAAGGAATCGATCGCGAACGTGAGTGTACAATTCCCTTTAATCAACAAAACGTAACGCGTATCCGCTGCACTTGCGCATAATATGGAGCCGGCAACCAAAACAATTGTTTTGCTCCCTTAAGGTTTCTCACACAAAGGTACCTCTCGTATCAATATTGGTCAGGGGACCCTCCTGCGCCTGCAGAGGCTCAGTATTAAATTTGGGCTCTTTGTGCAGCCGGGGGATTTCCAGCCTGTGAAACGGTGAGATGGATGGGAATGGGCATTGCTCCTCTGGGCAGAGTTACTGTCGCTGTGTGGGAAAAGGTCTCTCTTTCGCTCTCTCACACAAGTCGGGAATGACTGTCTCAGTCTTTCCTTTACCTATAACTCAATCTCTCTGTGCCGGTCTTGTCTTCCTCTCTGGGAATAGGTAGAGTAGATACAGTTGGTCGATCATGTGAAGGAGTGATTGTTTTAAAGTGACATCGGGAGTAGGCGTCTTCTCCTCTCCTGTCAACTCGGTTCTGGTTATGGATCAAACTGGACGATCGAGCCGAGACATGTACGCCAACGTTCATCTTTCTGTTGCTTCAACAGCTTAAAGACAGAAGTTGTTGGACAATATCTTGAAAACCAGTGAATTTGAGCATACATCACAAGCAATATCACAAGCAAGAGAGCTGTTACACTAAAAAATGGTGTAGGATTTACTTTGAAATATTTTTCGCTCATAAATTGCTAATTTCACAAATATTTACAAAGAAATTACAAGTACAACATTGCTTCAAATGTGAAATTTTGAAGTAGAAAGATAGCCATACTTGTAGTATTGTCTTGTAAAACCTATACTGCAATAATCTGTTTTTAAAAAACCTTTTTACAGTGTACTGATATCCACATATATGAGGAAATTGCATGGCTTTATGCTTGATGTTTTGCACCTGCACTGTAAAAAAAATAGTTTTTAAGTTATAAATAAAACTAATATAATTGATGTATGTTGGAAATGCTAATTCAGTCTTGCTACTTCAAAATTCCATGTTTAATTCAATGTGTTACTTGCCATTTCTTTTAAATTATTTATGAAATTTAGCGATTTCTGAATAAAAATAGTTTCAAAGTCAATTCTGACCAAATTGTTTCTGTTTGTTAGCAATGACTGTAGCTAAAATAGTCTCAGCCAAATCTGCGTCCCCAGGATTTGGACAAAGGCCTACGAAAAAAAATTTTTTCTATACAACTATTCACTAATTATTGTAACTCACTCACCAGCATCCGTTAACACTTTACGGAATAAATACCATGTAAACGTTAGAGTCTTTCTGATAGAATATCAGTTTACCGTTTTTGACTAAATTTCGTTGATTTGTTGTTTTTACTTCTAAAAATTGTACAATTAACAGCATTTTGCTGTAAAATTACATGAAACGTCTGGTTAGATCTTTTACAGTTTTCCCTGTATAGAGTATGGGAAGCATTTTTACAATATTTTACCGTTAAAATTACACTAATTTTTTTACAGTGAGCAATACAATCTGACAATGTTGGTATCATCCTTCTTATTTTGTCTCTGGTATCGTCTACAAAAGCCTTTGCAAAACTCACACAACTTTTCCGTACAATGAATATGAATGAGAACGGTTGCTGTTGAGTTACAAAAATGACAAAAAGAATACAATAGCTTTGATACAAATGCAATTTGGATGTACTAACTGTTTAATAGAAAGGAAATGGCAAGTTTCTCCTTCAGACAGGCTACGATTCATTCAGACTACAGTGCGTTATTCAACCCTATAGTCTGTTAAATGGAATTTTACAACAAGAGCACATGTTTATGCAGCAATCATGAGCACCTAGATGGGGAGATAATTAGATATCCTCTCACAAAGATAGGAGCAACTGACTAAAAAAAAACAAAAGACATTCTTCTTACTGGATTCTTACATGAATGATGCATGAAGAATGTACAGTAGCTGAGGGATTTGAACTTCTCCACCATTTCAAGCCTGAAAGTCACTTTACCTGATAAAAGCACAACCCAAATTCTGATAAAGCAACTATATTATTCTGGGGGGGTCAAATGTAAATCCCAAACTGGATGACCATTAATTCCAATTATGGCAGTCTATGGTGTACATACACTACCATTCAAAAGTTTGGGTACGGTAAGATGTTTAATGTTTTTGAAGTCTCTAATGTTCACCAAAGCTGAATTTATTTTCATTTAAAAATACAGTAAAAACTGGCATATCGTGAAATATTATTATAGTCTCACAACTGTTTTGAGGTTTAATATGTTTTAAAATATACATTTATTCCTGTGATGCAAAGTATAATAGTGAAAAAGAATAATTTCACTATTATTATAATAAATTGTTACTAATAAATACAGTATAAAATCAGAAATAAATATGAGATCCTTATGAGATAAATGCTGTAAATCTATCTATCTATCTTTCTATCTATCTATGAATGAATGAATTATGTAATGGCTGACACCAGGTTACCCCAGTTGCATTGTATTCAAATGATCTTTGGTTACCATGAGTGTAAACTGGCGTGACATTATTGTTTGTTAATAAGGTCAGGCAATGGCTGTCGGGTCGTGCGCCGACTCCGTTGGCTCGCTACAGCAGATGAGCTGACTTTCACCTCAAAGCCACCCCACTCGTGTCACTCCGCAGCCCGGCTCATTATGGGATTAAGCACAGCCTAGTCCAGTCACATCATGATGCCAGGCCGGTCTGCGACACTGAGGACTGGAGTAATGATGCTGAAAATTCAGATTTGCATCACAGGAATAAATTTCATTTTAAAATATATTCAAGTAGAAAAGAGTTATATTTTACTTCTTTTAATCAAATAAATGCAGCCTTGGTGAACAAGAGACTTGTATATGTCGGAAATGTTAAAAGGCTTCCCATGAAGCTGTGATTCTGAGACCAAAGCGGCAACCACTTATAGGCTCAGTTTACTGTCCTTTCACAAAGAAGAGAGTCTGTTCCTACAAAACAATGTCACATAAATGCCTCGAACTGAGCCAAACATGCAGCAACAATTATTCTGGAGGATTTTTCGATGTGTGCTTCACATAGGCACATCAGTATACTTTTAAGAGCAATCAGGTAATCTGAACTGAGCTGCACAGGAATGCAGTTTTCGTTTACGCTGAGCTATGGAGCAAAGGAGTGGGAACAGAGAAAGTCATGGGAACAGACCCAATGTTCTGTGCATGCCAGTGATGCCAGAAGGAGCTGCAGTCCACACTATAGAGACGCTATAGGCAGGAGGATGTTACTTTGATAGGTATACTATACCATTTAACAAATGCTTTTCAACATTGATAATAGTAGATTTTCAGAATGAAAACCGAATGTTTTCTTGTTTTATTTAATTTAATTTTTATTATTTATTCTTTATGTAGGGCATAAAGAAAACAAAAAGGTTAGTTGTGAAGTCACCCATAAGTGTGAAGAAACTAAATGAGACACTATTTCACATAAAGGCTCTGATGCAAGTAAAAGGTCATAAATTCAGTGGCACTGCAGGTCTAGAAGAGCAAACGGCTGAGGCCTTCGGTGCTGCTCTGTTGGCAGCCTGTTGGCAAAATGGCCTTTCACAGCAAACTCAGAAGAGAAGCAGCACTGCACCATGAGCAAATGCTAACCACTTTCTTTGATTTGGCTTTATAAGGCAGAGGAAATATGAAAAGGTGGATTTCTCAGAAATTCTTGTGGGGCATAAAAGAGGAGGGAAAAACAACAACACCACACCAAGCGCAGAGCAAGCGTCTATGTTGGTTGGGTGATAGGGGCTTTTTCCACCCTGCCAGCCTGGGCCCTGAGCCCATACCACATGAGAGGAGGGTGGAGCAACACACGCGCTAAAACCCCTCATCTACACTATCAGACTACTCAAGTGTTCACGCTTCAAAAAGGATGCAAAGGTATCATAAAAGTGGTCCATACGACGTATGCACTATGTTCCAAAACTTTTGAAGTCTGATAGCTTTATGTTAGAAACAGACACAATTAAATTACATGCTTCCCTCCAAAAAGGTGTTAACCACTGCCCCTAAATCAATCAATCAATGAGTTGAAGCTCAGAAGTGAATCAATTTGATGTCAGATTAGAGTGAACTGGATCAGCTGCTTTAAAAAAAAAAAAAAAAAAAGAATCACACACACAGCTATTAAATAACTTGGAATATACCACGACACGGATAACATTTATGACACTAATATGGCCTCTTTTTTTCATTTTCAAGCTTATATTCTTTCAAAATTCCTCTTTTGTGTTCCACAGAAGAAATAAAGTCATACAGGTTTGCAAAGATGCGTAAATAATCACAGATTTTTAAAAAAAAAAATTATTTTCTTATATTTTTTAGTTTTTATATTTTTAGTTATTTTTTTTATTTATATTTTTTTCTAATTTTGTTGTATTTTTATTAGTTTTATTAGTTTTTGTTCATTTAAAAAAATTTTTATCTGTACCATTTTTTTTATTAGTTTTAGTTTATTTAGTTTTAGTTATTTTAATTAAGTTAAACAACAATGGGAAATATTGATTTGGCAAAAAAATTTTATTTATTTTATTTCAAGTAAAAAGTGTAAGTAATTATTGGCGCTTTTCCACTGCATGGTACGTATTCTTTCAAAATTCCTCTTTTGTGTTCCACAGAAGAAATAAAGTCATACAGGTTTGCAAAGATGCGTAAATAATCACAGATTTTTAAAAAAAAAAATTATTTTCTTATATTTTTTAGTTTTTATATTTTTAGTTATTTTTTTTATTTATATTTTTTTCTAATTTTGTTGTATTTTTATTAGTTTTATTAGTTTTTGTTCATTTAAAAAAAATTTAATCTGTACCATTTTTTTTATTAATTTTAGTTTATTTAGTTTTAGTTATTTTAATTAAGTTAAACAACAATGGGAAATATTGATTTGGCAAAAAAAAATTATTTATTTTATTTCAAGTAAAAAGTGTAAGTAATTATTGGCGCTTTTCCACTGCATGGTACGGCTCACTTTTGGGGGGTTTTCCACTAGGTACAGTACCTGGTACCTGGTACTTTTTTTAGTACCACCTCGGTTGAGGTTCCAAGTGAACCATACCATTACCAAAATGTGACGTGTAAACTCTGCTGATCTCGGATTGGCCGGAGAGAATCGTCACTACCTGCGTCACTGAACTTGCAACACAAACACAAAAGAACTGCTAGATTTAAATCAGCACAACCAGCGAAGGATCGAACGCAACTGTTTTGAACGAGTGCACCTTTTTTAACAACCAAAAAGTGGCTGTTTCGTTGTCTGTTGAGGAAGTACAGAAGTTCCTCTCGTTGATAGTTGATAGGTTGCTTGATAGCAGCAAGCTTGACGGGCGACGCGGAATGAAAAAGTTTTTCATATATATATCAGGGTTATTATTGTTATTTTACTTGAAATAAAACAAACATTAATTTTTTTTAAGAAAATGTGAATGGTGCTTATCCATGCACTGGACGTAGAGCACCTCTAAGTCTTGATCTCTGCTCTGTCTCCAAGCTGATGCTTCTCACAAGGCAAGCAGCCCAAGGTTAACATCCTCAACACATGCCAGAAGAGCACCACCTTCACCTCCACATGCATACTTCCTGTGGAATCCAAAAGATGCCCTCCACACTACATTTCAAAGGCAACTTCAAGGAACAGTTCACCCCAACATTTTGACAGCTAGATCTCTTTGACATGTTCATGAGAGAAGTAGTGAACAAATCTGGGGCCAGCTGCATAAACTTTGTTACCACTATGTTATGAATTGGTTTGACCAACTAGCAGTTAGCCAAGAGGTAATCAGTCTTACTTTTCTGATTCAAATTGGGCAAATCTACCTTTTTGTAACTGACTTTAAAAAAGTTATGACCAGTCTTAAATTTGATGAATAACTTTTTAAAGAGTAATCTTAGCAGTTTATGCAACCGGCAAAAAGGTACAAAAGGTGTCACTGGAGTGGTACCTTTTCAAAAGGTTCGCCTTTGTATCTAAAGGGTACATATTTATTAGCACAAAGTTACAAAAGTGTACCTTTTGAAAAGGTACTGCCCCAGTGACATCTTTTGTACCTTTTTTTCTGAGAATGTGGTCTAAATGATTTGTTTATGACTCACAGACTCAAACTGCTTGCAGAGGAAGATCATCAGTGAATAACGATTTAAATTCAGTTGTTTTCTCACACAAAGTGATCATATGACATTAAAACTAGGGATGTTCATTTCGGTTATTTTTCCTAACCGACAATCGACACTCGTTAACCGATTGTTAACCATTAACCGACAAGATTATTTTAAATTAGAATTGAATTAAATTAGATAGGTTAAAAATATTTTGGCATTAGGCCTATTTCTGAATGAAATAATAAAATGCAACTTATACGTGACTTGTTTTTTTTCCCCCCTAAACTTTTTTTTTTTTTAATATGCATAGCATATTTTAACCACGCAGCAAACCTTTTTCAATATTTTGATGAATTACTGAAAAAAATTATAATTAAATTACTTTTTAAAAGTGTAACTGATTGTATTAATCGGTCAAAATTCTTACGGTCGGTTAACCGGTTAAACGGTTAAAATGAACATCCCTAATCAAAATATTTGTATGGACCAGTTTTATGATACTTTTTTGATCCTTTTTGAAGCTTGAAAGCAATGTATTTGCATAGAAAACAACAACTAACGTGTTGTTCAAACTCTTTCCTTTCATGTTCTGCAGAAGAAAGAAATTCATACAGATTTGAAATGACAAGAGGATGAGTAAATAATGGCAGAATTTTTAATTTTGGGTGAACTGTCCCTTTAAGTCTGTTTTTTTAAAACTTATACTGATCAGCCTCCAAAATCCTTACGTTGTAAATATCTCTCCTCTCACAGTACATAAACTTCAAGCTATTCTTCCATTCCGTCTTTTTTGCCTGCATGTCCCTCTGGCCATGTTTGTGCATATCCATGTCAGTATTGTCTGGAGGGAAAACCCCAGATGTTCCCTCGGCCGACAGCATTGTGTTCGTCTGATGTACAGCCTCGCGTATCCGCACCACCCCTCGGCTCTCTCTGTCCCTGCTCTTTCTGATCTACACAAGGCAGTCTTTGCACCAGCTTCGGCTGTTCCTAGAAACACTGAATGTGTGTACTAAGCTACGCTAGCTCCAGAATGCAAAAACTTCTGGCTATGAGGACCTCCGACAGATTCCTGATGTCAGCCTGAACCCTGACATCACAGCCTCCCAGATTCCAGACAAGCTCCTCTGGGAAAATTGTTGCAAGGAACCAACAAGACCTCTAGTATTACATAGCAAATTGTTTATAATGCATTTCAGCTATTGGAAAGAACAGCGGACAGGGTTGCTAAAAAATTTACTTAAACATCTGGGTCAGTGATGCATAAGTGTCATAAAGAAAACCTTTTAAAAATCCAGTTTAAAACATGTTTCTTAGAAATGTACAGTATTTTTTTTTTTTAGTATTTAGTTTTCATGTTGTTTTTAGGCCTATATGGTTTTGAAAATCGTTTATATAATTTTCAGTAAAATTTTTAATTGAATGACTCTAAAAACGTCATGTGGTGTCATGTCATCAAAAAATTGTATACAATGAAAATGTATAATATATTTTTCTTACACCTTGAATACATGTACATATAAACTTCTTTGAAAATAAACGTGTATATTTATCAAGATTTTTTTTTAAATATCATGAAAAAAACAAGCTTAGGGAGTCGCACCACATGACATGAACCACTTGACATAAACCTGAACTAACCTTGCCTTGTCATGAAAAGTTCAAATTATCTGCTATTTTAAGAAACCTCTCAAATATTATGCACACCATATGACATGTAACATCCTAAACTAACTTTGCCTTGTCATAAAAGGTCAAATTATTTGGTATTAAGATAAATAAAAAAGATACTTATCAAATATAATCGATTATTAATTCATAAATACAAAAGTAATACTTTATATAATTTTTGTGGTCACACCACATGACATTTCATAACCTGAAGTAAACTTGCCTTGTCATAAAAAGGTCAAATTATTTGATATTTTAAGATCATGAATTATTCATTCCTACTGTAAATATCATAGGTCATAAAATAATCTGGTTTTGGGCGGTCGCACCACATGACATGTTAAAGGTCAAATTATCTGACATTTTAAAACTTAATGACCTTGACACACAGTCAGGGGTCTCTCTGTGATATCCTTTCCTGTTTTAAGTACATGTAACATCCTAAACTAACTTTGCCTTGTCATAAAAGGTCAAATTATTTGGTATTAAGATAAATAAAAAAGATACTTATCAAATATAATCGATTATTAATTCATAAATACAAAAGTAATACTTTATATAATTTTTGTGGTCACACCACATGACATTTCATAACCTGAAGTAAACTTGCCTTGTCATAAAAAGGTCAAATTATTTGATATTTTAAGATCATGAATTATTCATTCCTACTGTAAATATCATAGGTCATAAAATAATCTGGTTTTGGGCGGTCACACCACATGACATGTTAAAGGTCAAATTATCTGACATTTTAAAACTTAATGACCTTGACACACAGTCAGGGGTCTCTCTGTGATATCCTTTCCTGTTTTAAGTTTTTTTTCCTGAATATTGGTCGCACCACATGACTACTGCATCTTCCGCAACCTAGCACTCAAAACCGACATGAAACATGCTAAAACAAAACAGATTCACAATTTATTTTTTGTTACTTCCCTCATAGTTCCACATTTCCCTGTGCATTTAAGTAAGGGAAAGGTAAAAAGTGACAAAAGTGATTCCATGCATGGGAAGCTTGGTATTCCCTCCCTGGGTGGTGGGAAGGGAGGCCAGGGCAGACCTGTCCAGATGGACCCAGGCTTGGCGAGGACAGAGCAGGGTCAAAACAGAAACTGAAGTATCAAAGCTAAGTGGTCTGCTTCCCGAAACTTGGCACTATGCAGCAGCACTAAGGGGGGATATCAGATAAACTCAACCCTGCTGTCGGAATGGCTGCGTGTAAGGAAATGAGGTGAAGGTCACGACCTGGAAAGCACAGGTCAAATGTGGCGGCCCACCATTTGAAAGCAACCCATGCAATCAGTGCGGCTAACCAGCAGATGGCCATAAAATCTGAGTCGAAGGTTGATGGAGAAGCAGGAGGGTCTCTGAAGGCCAGTGTCCGGCCTTTCTGAACGCAATGGATACATAAGTAACAGGGTAAATGTCACATCAGGACCACCCACCACCCGGGCCGACATTCCCCCCTTCATCTC